CAATATTCGCCCGGGAGCGCAACCTTGCCGGGCAGGCGTTTGGTGTACTTGGTGGCAATCCAGTACACCCTTTCATTTCTTATATCTACTGAGCTACGTAAGGGGTGAATAGGCCCCGAAGTTCCGGGCCGCCGTAGTCACGGGACCCAAAAAGCCACACCGTAGGTGGCCGCCCAAGCCGGGCGTCAGGCGGGCACCAGGATCGCCGCCAGCTCCAGTATAGCTGGGCGTAGCTGCGACGTCAGGTTGGTGCCAGGTGAGACCGGGCACCGGTGTCACGATTATTGCAAGGGGCTGTTATTCATGAGGCGATTATGATGATATTGTGGTTCTATGTGTCCCGAAGACCGGCCATAAGAATGGCCTCTCCTAGCACGTGATGTGCTGACTAATGCTAAGTATGAAATTGCCTCACACTCGCCCCCACTGGGTCCCGAATCACCATCTGAATCCTCCGAATAGCTTCAACTGACCACAATCAATGCCTCTCAAACTGTCTATCACCGAAATCCATGCTGAATAACCATGCTCTCGTCCCTCCTGTATCACTCTGTCCCCATCCTTCGGAACACTAGCCATAACTCCAGCCCGTCATTCCCCCATGCCGAGCATCAATCGTAAACGCGCATTTTCTTCAGCCAATTCAGTCATGGCGGCCTCGCGCTTGATGACTTCGTCGGAGATCTCTTGCTGCGCATGGTGAACCACTTCTTGGAGACTTGACTCCAATTCCTCAATCCGTTGATCCTTTGATGATGTAGGTGATTGGCAGGTCAAAACGCAAACTGCATCGAACAATGGTCACTTTACCAGCCGCTGGAACTGCAGCACTGAGGTTGTGTCGTGAGCCTGTGTTTGTTGTTGTTGGTGGTGGATTGGGGTTGTCTGGTGCGCTTCAACTTGATCTAAGACTCAACAATTTCGATTCCCTCACATCCGTTGCACACTTCTCAAGATTACTGATTCCTTCATCTTTTCCTTTCTTTTCTGACACTTGTCTGCTATCACCCGACTGACACTCCTCCATCACCCTCTTGTCCTTCTCACTATTCTCAACATCACGATGGATGTTACTCTGATTCTTCTACATACACCACTCACCCGACATTCCCACCAAACCAGCGGATATCATCCGCTATCATATCTTTGACAACAATACTCTGCGACAAAAAGAAAAGAAAGAAATACATACACCAATGAGGCACCGAAGTGCCTTCACTGCTTGAATGCCCTATGGCTCGTCTTCCGCACTTGCGCACATGGCACACGCTTTTGTTAAATACAGGTGATAATAATATACACATTTGATACCTGCTCACATTTCACCGACCTGGCACTGCGAGGTCTGTCTAGTTGGGACCTGCCCTTCATTCACTGACCTTGCACTGCACGGTCTGTCTAATCTGTCATGGCGTACATGCTCCGTAATCGCACTCGCAATTGTGAACATACTCGCTGAAAACAAACATATTCCATCCTAAGCATACCTGCACGGCAAGCCTGCTCACATACACATCATTCCCCACAAACTGCACTGCAGCTACTCCTTCGACATTTCCTCACCCGACACTTCTCCTATACATTCCCATGATTCCTCACCGAATCCCAGGGCACACTGCACCATGTGGTGCTCACAAATGTTTCAAGTCCAACTGCCGGCCCTGCCAGTAGTTGGGATCATCCTCCATAGCAGTGTCGGCAGGATAATGGACGAAGTCTCCCCACCACGGTGGATCATGCTGTGGCTGGTATTCCTCTGGGGCCTCAACAGGGTCGTGGAATGGAATTCCCATTTCCCGTTGGATGGCAGCACGTCGACGAATCTCCTGATCTGCTAATTTCTGTTTGCGTTGGACTCGGAGCCGATTGTCCTCATTCCGTGCCATTATGTCTTGCCAAGGCTCATCCCGGGTCCCATGTTGTTCGCGAATAACAAACGGTTTCAAGTCATTCACATGGAATTTCCCCTTGATTATTCCAGAATGTATTTCCTGAATAAATGCCGACTTATTTTCGGGTGTCATCTTGGAGATCCTGAAAGGTCCGAGCCATCTTGGTTCGATCTTGTGAGAGTGATTGTTGTCCTGAGCAAGGCGGCGGAGAAGGACGAGATCGCCCTTCTTCATTTTGAGCTTGCGCTCAAGTTCGGATTTCGAAGCCTCCCCTTGTTGCAGTTGACGGCGCAATCGAATAGCATTGGCAGTGTCTCGCATCTCATCAATCTTGGCTAAACGGACAGCAACGGCAGACACATTTGGAGTTTCATCGAAACGAGGGACAAAATCAGGTCGAGAAATGACCTCTCTCCGGATAGCTTGATCAACAGCAATGTCTTCTGGCGTGAAGCGAGGCTGGAAACCAAAGAGCAATTCTGCGGGAGAAAATCCATGAACAGACACTTGCTTGGTATTTAGGACGTTGAAGACGTGCGGTAACAGCTCGTCCCATTGCTCGAGTAGGCTTGGTTGAGTCTGTAAAATTTTCCGGAACACGGACAAGATTAACTGAACAAATCGCTCCGAGAGTCCTACTGATGCGGGATGGGACCGAGGGGCATGCACCATCTGAATGCCCTCGCGGTCACAGTACTGGCGCACAGCGGGCGACGTAAAATGGGATCCATTATCCGTGTAGAGTGTAAGTGGAGAACCAAACGGGGTCACAATGCGTCGGTCAAGAAAACGTATGGTGGACGCGGAGTCAGCTGCTGCGGTCGGGTCTCCCAGCGCGTACCTGGACTGATAGTCCACACCAATGATTATGTACCGGTTACCATTCCTAGAGACTGGGAAAATGGGACCAATGTAGTCCATACCGAGCATATCCCACGGCATAAGCTCGAAGATCGGGGTAATTCCCTCAGACGGCCTCAGAGGGCCCACCATTTGACACATTGGACAAGAGCGACAATATTGTTCAATGTCGTGCATGCGGGTCGGCCAGTAGGCTTTGCCGACCACTTCTTTGCGAAGGATACCAGAAGCAAAATGCCCATGTACGTTGTGGAGAACTCGGAGTTCAGTTTCTACGCCGTTCGCTTGAATGCACCTGGACTTCGCGCCATTCTTCTCAACATAGATGAGGCGAGGTCCCTCGGGAGAGTCCCAAAGGATGAACCTTATGGCAAGTCTTCGGAGGTGGCGCCGCTGAGATGGATTCAGCTCGCAATGAAGAGGGAATGCATTCAAAGCCTTGTACTTCACCACATCTCCATACCAAGGATCATCAACCCAGGCTTCCCAGCCTTTAAGAATGTCCTGAGCGCCCAACGTGGTGGGATCAAGGGGGGCATATTGGGGCGGCCACTTCGGTTGTGGTCGGACTTCCGCAGCCAGTACAGGGAGATCAACTTCCTCGTCAGACCCATATTCAACATCAAAGAATGATAAGCGACTGTTGACAGATTCCCTGGGGGACATGGCGACTTTGTTGTATCTGCTCAGGCCATCGGCCACTGCCATCTCGCGACCGGGAACATGGACATATTCAATGTCGAACCTCGACAGAAAGAACTGCCACCGCGCAATTCTCCCGTGCGGATCATCAGATTTCAAGACAGTTAGGAGCGCGGAATGATCAGTGTAAACACGGATCGGGAATTTGGAACCTTGCAAAAGCCAGCTCGCTTCCTCAACGCATTTGAATACCGCGAAACCCTCGCGTTCTGTTGTGTGCCAGCGTGACTGGGCCTCAGTGAGTTGGTATGAGAGAAACATTACTACACACTCCTTGGAGTCGACAATTTGATAGAGCACCCCGTCTAAGCTGGTCTTACTGGCATCAGTCGCCAAATGATATTGGAGATCTTCATTACCAGCGATCACACATGTCTGACACACAGCATCTTTCAACGCCTTGAAGATGAGCGCATGCTCCGTGGTCCAGTTCAATGCAATAGGAACTCGCTTGCGGACAGTCTTCCCTGCCTTATCTTTGACTGTTCCGGGCTCTGTCACAATCGCGGATTTAAGGCGCTTCGACAAATCAGCTCGCCCAGGGACATAGACCTTTAGAAATGGCAACGTTGCGAGGAATCTCTCCAACTCTCGTGGCTCTGTTGGTTCTGGCCAATGTTTGAATGCATCAACTTTCGCAGCGGACGGCCGAAGACCGTCTGGTGTGCGAGCATGTCCCAAGATCTTGATATTGCTACTCCCAAAAACTGCCTTCTGCGGGTTCAACCTAATACGGCCCCAGGCAAGGCGCGGCAGATAATGCTCATGTAAGAATGTTGCCAGGTGCTCCAATGTATCGGCTCCCCCTCCATCGTCGTCAACGAAGTGGGAAAAGGCCGCAACACCTGGCATGGCATCGGACAACGCTGGTTCTGCATCAGGAGCTGGGACTGGGCCAGTGAGAATGTCCTTGAGACGGGAGTAGGTGCCAGGAGATCCTGTCAAGCCCTGCCCCATGCGTCTATAGCAGAATTGCCCCAGACTGGAGATAAAACCAGTCTTGTACTGATCTACGCGCACTATTGGTACAGCCCAATAGCCGTTACTCCCATCTGCCGTGAACATGAATTTCAAGAAACTTTGGCTCATCATTCTCAACAGCGGCTCAATTCTCCTAGCAGGGTAGTTCGACTTAATGGTTGCGGCATTGAGCGGTATGAAATTTTGCGTCATGCGCAACGCCCCAGAAGATTTCTGCACAAAGCGGCAACGTGCCGCCCACGGCGACTCACAAGGCTGTATTATGCCTGCTTCAAGGAGTTTCGGAAATTCTGATTTCTGCCAACGAATTTCAGCGTCTGAGTAGATTTTCAAATTTGCTTTCCTTGGCTGGATGTGAGCGTGTGTTGGGATGCGATGTACCACGAGTGTGGTTTCTGGCAAGTCGCGGACATCTGTCACAAATAAGTCACGCCAGGTATACAGCACCTGTCCAAGAAGCTGCTTGTCGGCTGGAGATGACACAAGATCCCCAAACAACTGTGTGTTTTGTTCAACCCATGCTAACAACTCAGCCGTCGACACTACGGCTAGTCTTCGACGGTACTATGCCGGCCTTTCTGTAGTTGGAAAAGAGTACTTGTCTTCATGAGCGAATGCCGCTTGCTCTTCGGCTTCCGTGACAGGGATCTTTTGTGCTGCATGACACGATTGATCCTTGGAGTTTGAACTTCTTTCCTGATAACTGCTCGGCTTTTCCAAATTAAGAGGCTGGGAAATTCCACATTTCTGGTTCTGAGAACTATCGTGGGGATCCTCCTCTTGGACCTCTTTTTCAGGGGCCCAAGGTATCAACGCCGTGGCCTCGCCCGCAAGGGCATGATACAAAATATGTTTCGCCACTTCAGCTCGCGGTCCCAACATTCCATGTCGCCGCTCAAGTAATGATACCTGGTGTGCATGCACAGGTACTCCTGCAGTATGTGCAATCGCTGGTCGCCACCTTGTTTTCTCAGGTTTGATTTGAGTTGCTGACGCTTTCCCCGCAGCGGAGACAGCATGCATGCTTCGATTCTTTTCTGCGTTGCTATAAAAATACCCGCCCTGTGTATGACAGTCCTGAAGCTGCTCTTCCTCTCGTTGGTAAGCCTGCAATGTCTGGCGATGAAAATGTTCTCCAGCACTCATACGAGCTTGCACTCGCCGACGATGTAATTTCACGCCCTTCTTATCCACTGGCCATACCTCCGAAAATCCTTCCCCACCTTCACCCCTGATCTCCCCCACTTCCCCCGCTCGGTCCCGGCATCGCGACATGCGCGCACATCCATCACCATGGCCCGTATGATGCCCATTCCGGAGGGTGTGTTTTAGAGGGGAACCAGGTTCTCCGGGTACCTGTCCCCGTCCCCATTTCCCGACTGCTTGAGCGCAGCGAGAAATTGTGCAATGCGCGGATCTTCCTGTTCGTACTCAGGATGAGTGGATTCTAACAATGCGGTTTTCGCAAATCGTTCTGCGAGTTCTGTCATCCGTGCATCGTCGTCCTCATCATCACTGTCAAGTGAAGCAGGTTGTGGAAGGGTTGGCGCCGTGGTGAATGCTTCGAGAGGAATGGAAGCATCTAGTGGGTACTTGAGCGAGTGTTCAGGTTCTCCTCCCGAGTTTCGGTAATGACCCAAGTGTTGATCTGCATCAAGGTGAACTCGAAGTGACACTGGCGGTTGAACGTCGACAACTTTAGGAACTTTGCGGGGGCGTTTGGCAGAGTCAAAAATGTAGTAGTCGTTGGTGGAATAGTCACCTATGGCTCCTACTTGGTGAAGCCAGCCTCTGCTGAGGAGCATGTTGTAACTCGTGGTGCCATAAACAATGAAGAATTTGAGAATCCATTCAATGCCAGCAACCTTAACAGGAAGTAAAACGTATTGCGTTAATGCATGTACAGGTCCATCTGCTGTTCGCATGCGCAAACCCGTGGTGTCCTGATGCCATGGTGAATCTAGCTGCTCTGCAACTTTGGCGTTGATAAGTTCAATGGAAGATCCGCCATCTAACAACACTTGTGAAATTTCGAAGTCTTCGTTGTCTTGTTCAATGGAACGGACTCGGCAGGCTGTATAAAAACATGGAGGAGGAGGTCCTTGATCAAATCGCAACCAGTTAGCATTCTGGCGAGGTTGATCGCGCGCCTTGATTTCACTCGCACTGTGCACAAGAACACCATCTTGGATGCGACGCGCACGCATCTTCGCGAGAGGTCTCTCGAGACCATCCACTTCATCAGACACAGTTGGAGGTGGTGGCCGACCGTCCCCTCGTTGTGTCTGTGACTGCTCTTCAACTGGCGTCTCCTCACGAGGTTGCATGGTCGTGCCATATGCGATCTGAGCACGAATCGTTGAGGACACATTTATGAGCTGGGGGTATGATATATCGGGTTGTGGCCTGCGCTCGTGGAGATCCTTCCACACATTGTACGGTGGTTCTTCACCAATCGCGGATTGGTCGAGCACCTACAAGAGTTTCGATTCCTGTTCCTTTCTTAGATCGGGGCTTCCGTTGAACGCCTGGCACAAGAGGAACTTGCGCAGATTCAGGACGTCGGGCATCATGAGGAGCGCGCGGGGCCTTGCGCTTTTCTGCCATAGCAACTTCGGCAGGGGCAGCATTCGCCTCATGTTGATTCTCTGATTCGCGAAACACATGCACACTTCCTGAAAACGACAGCTGTCCGGGCCCAGAGAAGTCACTTTCTTGGCCATACCAGCTTGGGTCATAATCACGATCATCCCACCGATTGCCCATGAGAGATACCCCGTTGACATTGCGGGTGTCATAATCCTCCCATGTAAGGGCGGATACTGGGGCGACGTTTCCAGCTGTTCGACCTCCGTATGGGGGAGCATCCATAGGTCTTGGCTGCATATTGTTTGCGCGGTATCCGTCAGAGCTGCCCGGAGTTGGAGCTGGGCGCGCGGTGGATGCTTGATCTCTTGCAGATTGCCGTTCCTCAAACGTGGCACGAGCATATGTACAATCAGTGGAATAATGGCCGTACCTAGCACAATTGAAACACTGAATCGAAGACTTGGTATTTGACTGTGGCTGTGACTGTGGTGCTCCTTGATATCCCCCTTGACGAGATCGCGGCCATTGCTCTGGGCCCTGCGGATGGTGCGAAGCATTCTGGTTCCGACCTGAGGAAGAGGCGCCTTTCGGTTGGTGATTTCCTCGAGCAGAATTATTCATTCCAGTGGACTGCCCTTGCGTTTCGTAGTGAACAACTTGAAACTGTGATTGAGACGATTGAGTGGGCGGAAACTCTGGCTGGGGCTGACGCACACGGCCATATGGTTGGTGCTCCTGATACTCGGTTTGGGGAGGCTGGTATCCACCACGCGGTGCGGACCTATTGCGACCTCCTCGGGAAGGGGATCTCTGAAACGGTTGGCCGTAGGAAGACTGTCCATAAGAGTTCGAAGATCCTGTGGCATTTCTTTCAACTGCACTCGCAAGGCTGCGTAGCAATCGGTTGGCATTGCGCGAGTCTTCAGCCGTATCCTCATGTGCTGGCTTTGTTTCGACATATCGAGGACCCTTCATATTGATAGCCATATCAATAACTTGGAGGAAATCCATCTCCTCCTGGGAGTACCAGCCACGGACATGTCAGCGAATCCTTCGTCAGCAAGGTTGTTAATGAAGTTATCGATGAGAATGGTTTCTTGCTCAGGAGTGACACGTAAATGCAAGTCTTTGGCGTATGCGATGTAGTCGCCCAAACTCCGATTTCCTTGACGAAGGCCATTCAACTCATTTGCTACTCTGTGTCGCAAATTCTTCTTCTGACGAGCCTCATCTTTGCCGTACCGTGCCACCAACATGGTCGTGACTTTCTTGTAATTGATCTTGGCATCCTTCGTCAATGTTGCCCACCAGCGCGCAGGCTCACCGTCCAGCTTCTGGTATAGATACAACAGAAGCATCTCATCCAACTCGTTCTGGCTGTCTGTGTACATGTTGTCCCACTCAGCTCTGGTGATCCCATGCTTCCATGAGATGGAATCGACAAACGCCTGGATGTCTTGGGCGGGGGCATTTGTAAACTTTTCCACCGTTAGGTCTCGTCTGTTAATCCTTCGAGCTTCCTCAAGGAAAGCTTGACGATCGCCTGGTGCCCTTGTGGCAGGCCCTCCGCTTGGGTACGCGGACATGTTGAAGAATTCCAGAAACGCTTCTGGGAATGACAGTTGACTGATTTCCGGCTCAGGATTAAACTCTGAAACTGACTCCGGAGACGGGGATCTTTCTCGGTAATGTGTAAACTGAATGGGTGTTTCTGGCACTGGGACTTGAGGTGCCGTTGGTTCACTGTCCATTAAGGTGCTTGTGTCGCTTTCGCCAGACTCCGAGAGAGCTCTAATGTCTGAGGCTGGTACAAACTCTCTTGTCTCTGGCCGCTTGCTACACTTGCACTGAATTACTTGCTGGCTCTGAAGACTAGCCACAAGCAGTTGAATTCCTCTCTCGACAACTTGCAGTACTCTCGGAATCATGCACTCAATGATTCTTTCGACTGCTTGATTGTGTTTTGTAACTTTTTTTCCTGAAGACTTGCCGTAACGTTTGGTTTGTTTGCCTATCTTCTGAAAGCTTGCATCTGACTCTGATGATGATCTTGTTAAGTCTTCTCGAGTAAACACGCTTCCTTTTTCCGTTGGCTGCTCCAACATCAGGTGGTGCCTTCTCAGTCTGGTTCTGCTGACAATTCTCAAGTCTCGATTGGCTCGCTTGTACCAACAACCAATCACCATTCTCCGAATTGGCTCACTCTTCCCTTTTCGGACGCCTTGAGGTAAGCGCTCCTGACTGCTTGGAGCACTTGCCATACTGGTTGGCACCTCGCAATCAATATGTGAATGATGGACAATTGGCGTGCATGAATGCATAGTCCGCAACGCTGCTCTGTCTCTGGCTCGATGTCTTTTCCCTTGCTGGTTCTTGCTTCCTGCACCGTTTTTGACTTGATCTTCTACCGCTCACTGCGATTGTTGACCCTGTGACTGCTGTTTCTCACTGCTTCCTGATGCACACTGCACCGTTCCTCACACTGCACTTCTCTGGCGCGATTCTGCTCAACTCTTCTGCCTCGTAACTTTTGCGCCTGCCTTGCTCTCGGGCAAGACCCCCAAATTGTCACGATTATTGCAAGGGGCTGTTATTCATGAGGCGATTATGATGATATTGTGGTTCTATGTGTCCCGAAGACCGGCCATAAGAATGGCTCGTGATGTGCTGACTAATGCTAAGTATGAAATTGCCTCACACCGGGATCGCCGCCAGCTCCAGCACAGCTGGACACAGGGCCAGCTCGGGGCCTGAGCTGGCGCCAAAGGCCGGCCTACAAATAGTACGTAGGCCCCGTAGATATATTAGTTAGTCAATTGATTCTATTACTACGTACTGCGTTACGTACAGTGATAATCTATGCCCCTATTCTGCCTGCCATAAAGCGTGTGGGATTCGCAGCTGTTTTCTCTTACGATCCCCGGTCACACGCAAAAGCCTCCAACATCTTCTGGAAGATGATGCCATCACGTGGCCTCTCATCACAGCTCCAATCTGGTGTTAAGAAGGATAAGACTCGGATCTCCCTGGTTTTCTGCGTCAACGCTACTGGAACAGACCGACTCCCTGTTTGGGCAATTGGCCATGCAAAAGCACCTTGAGCATTACAACGAATTAATATACCAACAATGGGGGCACAATGGAAAGCGAACAAGAAGGCTTGGATGACTGGAATACTTATGAGCGAATGGCTTCAAGCCTTTTATCAGCATATTGGAACTACTCGGCAAATACTCTTAACGATGGACGGCATTTCACATCTTGATCAAGGAATTATTCAAAATATTAAAGCTTATTATCGACAACATTGGCTTCAGTTTATAATCGACACTATCGATTCAAATCAAGATCCACAGAAACTTATGAATCTTCGACTCGCTCTTCGCTGGATTATTCGTGCTTGGAATACAGAGGTTTCAAATACTACGATATACAACTGTTTCCGGAAATCTACACTTGTTTCAAATCCAATTAGCCTTCTGACAATAACGATACCTACTGGAATACAAGAACTCTATAACCAAGCGATAACTATAGCATCAATTACAGACTCAATGGCTATTTCGAACTTTCTAAACCCTGTGGAAGAGGCTGGAGCAGTAGAAAGACAGACTACAGAACTACTTGAGAAGATAATAGAGGGGCAACTTGGGCATCAGAACTCTAAAAATGATGACGAAGAGGAGGAGCAGCCTGAGCAGCCTGCGCCTAAAGGAGGCCCAGGATGCCCTCCGCTGGGATTTTTTAGGTTTCCCATGTATGTAGTCTCTTCCTTAATACAATCTCCAAATACGAATCCTCTTACAAAAATACACAACTCATGATAATCCGCTATCAGATACCAAATCGAGGTTCCACTGTATTATATTATCTACCAGTGATTCTACGTTGTCTCGTAAATACATCCTGTACCATCTATATATGTACACCCAAATGTCATCGATATACATCTTTCTCTATATCTTGCTCCCATCCTCCCGTCTCGGAGCAATATTCCTCGCCGCCGGCAGCACCAAACACACATGATGGCTGAGCGCCACAATATCCCCCTCCGCATCCATAATAGTAAGCTCTAAATCCATCCTCCCATTCTTAATCTGCTTCGTCTTGCACCTGCTAAACAGCCACTCAACGCCCTCCTCCGGCAACAGCTTCTTAAACTCAATATTAAGCAGCACCGTCGGGTACCAGTAGATCGCCAGCTTCTTCTTAGCCTTCTCCGCATCATTGCTATCATACGGGTTCTCCCTCTCCCGGAACGACTCCACGGGCATCGGGAACATATCCGCGATAAACCCTAGCGACTGATTCGTGATCTTCTCCCCGGTATTGAGGTGCACCCACTCATCCCCGATACTCCTGTGCGGCTGCCCGGCCCTGGGGAAGTGGAACTGCAACTTCGTAACCGCCTTCCTGAAGTTCGCAAACGGCATCTCCGCCCTGCACTCCCAGTGCTCGTCCTTGTCCTCCTTCAGCTTCACAAGGTCCACCGGTGGCGGCGCAGGGTGCAGCTCGAAGCCTGTGTCGAGCGAGAGCCCGTCCTCGGTGTGCAGGTTGGACTGAGTGAGGTACCCGACGACTTCCTCGCGGCCCTGGGACATGGAGATGTGGATGACGGAGGTCTGGCGGCCGAGCTTGGCGTCGGTCACTTTGAAGAGGCAGGGGCCCTCCTGTGTGCGGCGCAGGAAGTCGGTGTGGAAGGCAATGGTGTGGGGTTGGTTCTGCGCTTTCAGGGTGGTGGCGAAGTGCAGCTTGGCCACGGCGAGGAAGTTGCCGCATACGATGCCGCCATTGGGGACTGGGAGAAGGGGTTAGATTGTGAGGTTCTGGAGGAGAGGGGAGGACATACCTATGCCAATAGACCAGTCAGAGGGGAAGTTGCCCTCGTAGGTGTGAGAGTCGATGGCCTTGATTGCGGTGGCTTCCGCGAAGGTGGTGGTTGCCCAGTCGTAAGAAGACGCCATTGTCAATGTGTAAGTCTATCGCAAACGCCGTGTATAGGAATAGGAGGGTATATGAAGAACGAGTGTAATTAAGAGAGTGCTATAAAATCCATCTTCTTCTAGTCGCGGCACGGAAATGTAGTCGGCACCGTGTAACTTAGCGATCTACCTCGGCTTGTTCTTATCGGATCTTGGCATCTTGGTGGGAGGCGTAACCGACAGAGTTGGGTAACCGACATGGTGGGGTTGGCCACCCCATCAAAACCATCAAACCATCAATTAACAGCTTAAAAAAATTGAAAATATTCATTAATTACCATCCTAAGTCATCTATCTAAATCATCATCATATAATTGCTCTTTTTCATCTTCATCATCATATTCATTTAATTCCTCAATTACAGGCTTTATAGGGCGTGGTTAGGCTGGAATTTTCGACTTTTAGGAGGTAATCGTGCGGCTACACCTCTCGCGAGAACTCTCGCTTCGGGGGCCGCACCTCTTTCCAAGATAGATGTGCAACGTTATAGAAGTGGGGCAGATTTGGATTATGTAACTACAGTCAAATGCCGCTAAGACGGTGTATTCGGTGCCAACAAATCATCTCGTACTACAGTAAAGCACCGTTATAACGATGTATTTGCTGCCAGCAGAATATATCGTTATAATGATAATATCGCTATATTGATTCTTATGTAATCCAAGTATCTAACGTACTCTGCACCTGTGACTCTTGATCTAATGCCTCAAGAGCGAATTCTAAATGCTCGAGGCCTCGTAAATAGTCCAATTGAAGAGCCTCTTGTTCTTCAGTAAACTCAATCAGAACCTGGAGTGCTTGACGAGCGCTCTTCACAGAATGTAAAGAGCGCTCTTGCAACTCTTCTTCATCATCATCTTGAGTTTGCTGAAGACCTAGATGCTCATCAATAACCTCTTGTAGAATCTCGTCCTCGCTTGGTGTCCCATCTTGTATATCCCTTTCTTCGTCGCTTGGGTTTAGAAAGTTAGAAATTGCCATAACATCATGAATATTGCCAGCTCGTGTAACTTGTTCATAGAGTTGTTGATACCTGGAGGAGTAATTGGAATCGGAAGAGCAATCGGAATGCTGACAAGTGTAGATTTTCGAAAACAGTTATAGATTGTTGTATTTGTGACAAAATGATTCCAGCTCCGTAGAATCCATTGGACCGCAAAGTGTAGATTCATCAATTCGAGTGGGTTTCGATCTGAGGTAAAAGCATCAAGCATAAAAGAGAGCCACTGTCATCGATAATGGCATTTGAATGATTGAATGATGCCTTGATCAAGGGGCTGGAATCGACTAGTACTGTTAGCAGGAAGCCAACAAATACGTATGTTCGTTGGAGGAGGACAAAGCTCAAGAGCAGTGTTATGAGCTGAGAAGTTATCCATCGTAAGAAGAACTTGTCAACTCGTTCCAATATGTCGATAGAAAGCGTGAAGCCATTCGCTCATAATTGTTGTATTCATCCAAGCCTTCTGGCTCGCATGCCATTGCCCTCCCATTGATGGTATATCGATATTTCGAAGTGCGCGTGGCTGTTTATATTGTCCAATCATCCACACAGGTACGCGATCAGTTCCAGAAGCATTAACACAAAAGACGAGGCTCATTCGAGTTTTCTCCTTCTTTAATCCTGGATGCGTTTGTGTTGCAAGCCCTCGAGACGGCATCATCTTCCAGTATAGGCCTGTCTCATCCATATTATAAACGTCCTCCTCTTGAAATTCACCAGCGATAGTTCATAGAGCCTTCATTTCCTCCTCTGCTGTTTCTGGACAAGAGCCTCCTTCGCCGTGTTTTGTATGGACCTTGATATGATATCGTGCTTTAAATCGATGGAGCCAGCCAGTTGAGAAGTCTGGGCATTGTAGATTATCGTCGTTCGGTAGTTGTTGCCAAATCTCTCGAGCCTTTTCTTGTAGTATATCACCGCTTGTAAAGCCTCCACGCGATTGAATTCGTTGCTGCCATATAATAAGGAGTTGCTCTACTTCTGGCCACTGCCCAACTCGTAGTCATGATCCCGTAGGTTGTATAGCTTTGTCTAGATCTTCGAAATGTGAGCTTAAAGACTCGGAAACTGTTGACTGACTGAGTTTATGGCCATAGTTCTGAGAGAAACATTCGATACATTGCTTTTGAGAAGGCTTCAGGTGTTGTTGATGTGCCCACTTGCGTAGAGCCCGGCGTTGCTCAATAGTTATTGAAAATTGTTTCGTCATTTCAAGGTCTGAATAGGAGCACCATAGCACGGATAAAGCGATATTCAGGAAGGGAGCTGCGATATCGTGATAATCAGTAATTGTATGGTGGTGTTGTCGGGACCAGGAAAAATATCGCAATAATGAAGTTATCACTTAATCAAGAATCGTTATAACGGTGCTTTACTGTATAGGATATATCGCTATACTGAATTTTGCATCATCCACCCATCTAGCCGTGACTGTATCCTGCTATCCTGATCTAAAGCATCAAGAATAGACTCTAGACGCTCCAACCCTCATAAATGCTCTGCCTTGAGAGCATCTTGACCTTCAGCAAACCCAATCAGAACTTGTAGAGCTTGACGAGCACTCTGTATAGTAAATACAGGCTGCTCTAGCTGCTCCTCCTCTTCATCATCATCTTGGGTACTGCCTTGGCCTAGATGCTCCTCTAAGACCTCATTTAAAACCTCTTCTGGTCCCAATTCCTCCATCCCACCTTGTATATGTGTAATGGTGGGTGCACCAGATGTGAGAATCTAGCCACCCAAGGAAGGGATGAATTTACTAAGACAACACACTGTCTTAGAAAACAGAGCCAAAGGGTCGTAGCTTAGACTATTCCACAACGCAGCAATTCAGACAAGTTGCAACAAATGTTGAGTCTGGGAACTCAGGGGTAAGTCAGAGGTTAACACCTCACTGACTTTTCAGAAACAAGGAGTAACAGATGAATGCTTGGAAGCTTGGAAAAGACGTGAAAGTATGTGATAGTTGATTTACTGTATTGTCTGCTTGCCCTTTCTTAAGGAAAGGGCAATCCTATTTATGCTAAAGGAATGTAGTTCTCTCATTTTCCAAGACTTTCCATGACTTACCAGGCTTGGTAACTGTAGTCGACGTAAGAGAATCCCATAGAACCATCTCTTAGGTTCGTAGCCTATCGACGTAAGAGAATCCCATAGAACCATCTCTTAGGTTCGTAGCCTATAGGAAGTAAAAGGAGGTCCAAGGTCAGAGTACCCCTATAGACAAATTATGTCATAGACAAATTATGTCATAACTTAACCAATCTTGTGGGTAACTAAAGAGCGATGACATGTAATGAATCATAGAGTTCGTAGGAGCTTTTAGAGCTATCGTTCATGCTCCTAGGCCTCTAGTTGGTAGAGATATGTCATGTGGTAGTATGAGTGATGTCATGTAATGAATCATAGAGAGTTGTAGAGATATGCTATGTGGTAATATCGGCCCAGTAACTAAGGAGTGATGACGTGTAATGAATCATAGATGGTTGTAGCAATCGTTGAGTAGTATTGCTCTTGTTGTTGGTGTGATAAGCCAAAATATGTATAGTGACTTGTAGGTTTGAGGAGGAGATTTCCAAGTTTGCTCTTGAGTTTGATAGGCAAACTGAGTGCAACGAATGTCAGTATGACAATATCCTTCTCTGCCTCCAGGTTTAGAAAGTTTGATATTGCCATGACATCTTGTATGTTCCCAGCTCTAATTACCTTGTCATAAAGCTCTCCGATTCCAAGAGGGTGTAATGGTGGGTGCACCAGATGTGAGAATCTAGCCACCCAAGGAAGGGATGAATTTACTAAGACAACACACTGTCTTAGAAAACAGAGCCAAAGGGTTGTAGCTTAGACTATTCCACAACGCAGCAATCAGGTGTGTGATGTAGTGAAGTGGTTCAGACAAGTTGCAACAAATGTTGAGTCTGGGAACTCAGGGGTAAGTCAGAGGTTAACACCTCACTGACTTTTCAGAAACAAGGAGTAACAAGATGAATGCTTGGAAGCGTGGAAAAGACGTGGAAGTATGTGATAGTCGATTTACTGTATTGTCTGCTTGCCCTTTCTTAAGGAAAGGGCAATCCTATTTATGCCAAAGGAGTGTAGTTCTCTCATTTTCCATGACTTTCCATGACTAACCAGGCTTGGTAAATGTATTAGAAATCAAGTGCGACCCACAACTAGCTTGCTCATCATGTAGTGAACGTAAGAGAATCCCATAGAACCATCTCTTGGGTTCCTAGCCTATAGGAAGTGAAAAGGAGGTCCAAGGTCAGAGTACCTATAGACAAATTATGTCATAACTTAACCAATCTTGTGGGTAACTAAGGAGCGATGACGTGTAATGAATCATAGAGGGTTGTAGAAGCTTCTAGAGCTATCGTTCATGTTCCTAGGCCTCTAGTTGGTAGAGATATGCCATGTGGTAGTATTGGCCCACCCCCTTAAGGAGGAGATATTCTTAATAACTTGTTCAATGAGTGTCCAAATAATATGCTGTGATGTATGTAGCATAAACAGATGTAGTAGAAGAGTTTGCAGCAATCATTGAGTAGTATTGCTTCTGTTGTTGGTGTGATAAGCCAAGATATGTATGGTGACTTGTAGGTTTGAGGAGGAGATTCTAAGTTTGCTCTTGAGTTTGATAGCAAACTGAGTGCAACAAATGTCAGTATGACAGAGGGGTAATAGTTGTAGGAAGAGGGATTGGCATTGAAATAAGTGTTGATTTTCGAAAGCAGTTGTAGATTGTTGTGTTTGTAACCAAGTTGTTCCAGCTTCGTACAATCCATCGAATAGCTAAGTGTAGATTCATTGTATCCATAGGATTTTGATTGTTGTCAAAGGCTTCAAGCATATATGAAAGCCATTGTCGTCGATAATAAGCTTTGAAAGATTGAATGATACCTTGATCAAGAGGCTGATATCGACTGGTACTGTTAGCTGGTAGCCAACAAATATGAATATTTGAAGGAGGGGGGTAAAG